AGCAGTGGTGTCCTCCTTGGTCGTCTCCCATGAAGTCCACTTTGGCTCAAACAACGACGAATGGTGCGATCTGACACTGATGTACCTTGGCCTTGGAGTTCACCTTTAATTTCTTTGGAGGTTGTTCTGGGCTCTTTGGATACAATTCGAACGATCCGTCTCTTCAATTTGTCATCAATTTTCCTCTTGCGGCCACGTCCAGGGAGGTTGGCTACTGTCCCATGGGTCTTGAACTTCTGAATAATATGAGGCACTGTTGTCACAGGAACTTCAAGCTGTTTAGAGATGGTCTTATAGCCTTTACCTTTAAGATGTTTGTCTATAATTTTTTTTCGTATGTCCTGGGACAATTCTCTCCTTCGCTTTCTGTTGTCCATGTTCAGTGTGGTACACACCTTTTCACCAAACAGCAGAGTGACTACTTGTCTACCTTTAAATAGGCAGACTGACTGATTATGAGTTTGGAAACACCTGTGATGTCAATTGAAGGACACACCTGAGTTAATCATGTCACTCTGGTCAAATAGTTTTCAATCTTTTATAGAGGTACCATCATTTTTGTCCAGGCCTGTTTCATTAGTTTGTTTTTTTAAATAATTATGTTAATCAACAATTCAAAAGTGATGGCTGATTTTGATTGTTTAATTTTCAATAATGTTTTATTTATTCTTACTTTTGTAAGTTTCAAGTGATTTCAGTGAGAATTGTGGGTTTTCCCTTCTTTAACTGAGGGGTACCAACAATTTTGTCCACGTGTGTACATTAAATTATCTATGTCAAGTCTGATAACAATCTCTAGGACAGGGGATTTTGTGTCAGGCTGACGTTTCCTCAGGAGGTTTTGAGTTCAGTTTAGCTGAGATGCTGTGAAACCAGAGCTAAAACCTCATAAACACCACAGCTCAGAGCTGATAGGAACACAGAGACAGGCTCCGCCCCACAGACATAACATCATTTGGTTTTATCTTTCAGAAGGCACCACCTCCCTGTGACGTCAGTGGGGATTACCTCAGAGTTACATTAGTCGTAATGACTTTAATCATCTCTATTTCTAGGTCCATGTACAGGAAGTGGTTTTGTTGAAAAGTCCAGTTCAGGTCTTTGTAAAGTAAGATCTCAGAATATGGTTTTCTGTTTTTTTGATTTGGTTCACCAGCACACACCACCACCCACCACGCAGGCCAAGCCACCTTGAAAAAGTCAACCAGTTACAGAACCAAAATCTATCACATGAGGAAGAAAAAACTTTTTCCAAAAAGTACCACACTATTTCACTTTCTCTTTTGGTCACTGGATTGTTAATGGGTCTGTTAAACTTAACTTAAACTTATCTTTATTTGTCATTGTGACACAGCACAGCACAGCACACCATGCACAACGAAATTTATCCTCTGCATTTAACCCATCACCAAGTGAACAGTGGGCAGCCGTGGTCAGCGCCCGGGGAGCAGTGCTTGAGGACGATGCCATGCTCAGTGCATCTCAGTGGTAACCTGGCAGTTGGTGGAGTCGAACCTGGGGCCTTCCGGACCGAAGTCCGCTTCCTTTACCACTAGGCCACCACTGCCCTGTTTGCATTCCCCAATGAGGGTACATTTGCAAGTTTGGATGAGTTTTCACAAATAGTAATCTGACATTTAAATCGAATTCTGGGCTGTTTAGAGTGGATCAAACAGACAAACGTTTAATTACTTGTGAAACAAATAAAACCTTTCTCCATGACTAACCTTTACTAGCAGCTCTCGGCTGAGCGAGTAATTGTTGTCGTCCGAAAAGATTTCAGACAGTTCTCTGAAGGTGCGGAAGCTCTCCCTGCAGGGGGCAACATAGACATCAGAGCACAACTCTCATCACAGTCACCATATAGCTAAGGGAAGCTTGTGTCTTACCGGGACACTTCCTCCCAGGTTCTCTTTAGGCGGTGGATGGCATTACATTGTAGGGCTGAGAGAATGGCACGCAGCGAGGAGAAATTCTTTAGGATCCGACACTCCTAAACAAACATTCAGTCAAATTCAGCACCGTAAATATTATAATACAGAGGAAAACATTTAACTGGAAAAATGAAAAAATAAAAGTAAAGCATGTACTGACCCGGGCTACATCAATCCACCTCTCCAGCAGCCGGGCTCTCTGGTTGGGCTTCAGAGTTGGGTTGCTTAGGCAGGTGTTGATGACACAGTTGGTGACGGAGTTGAACTGGGCCACAGTGGCTCTGATGGTGGGGGCCAGGTGTTCTTTCCCCTTCTTGTCCCGCTGAGACCAGATCCCACCCAGACAGTGGTACGGAACAACCTTCTTAAATAAGTCCTGACACACAAACACGGCCAATCAAAGGACATCAGTAGGTAAACAAACTTCCAAAATCCTTGCATTCAAATGTAATGCAAATTAGACACTCACAGCATCCATGAGTGTGAACTGCTCTGCCATCGTGATGGGGTCAAAAGACAGAAAGCTAAAAGCAGGGAGTTCATCCTCAAAGCCGCTCTCTTCCTGAGTGGCAAACGGGCAGCCGAGGTTGTCCCCTTAAACAAGTAGTAAATAATTATTAAAACTTTTTAACCAACAAACAGATAAAAGACAATCATTGTCCACCTGTTCTATGACTGGTTCAGCATTGAACAACACATAAAGAAATTGCAAATTATCTATGTATTTAAGGTGTTTTGCATTCCCCAATGAGGGTACATTTGCAAGTTTGGATGAGTTTTCACAAATAGTAATCTGACATTTAAATCGAATTCTGGGCTGTTTAGAGTGGATCAAACAGACAAACGTTTAATTACTTGTGAAACAAATAAAACCTTTCTCCATGACTAACCTTTACTAGCAGCTCTCGGCTGAGCGAGTAATTGTTGTCGTCCGAAAAGATTTCAGACAGTTCTCTGAAGGTGCGGAAGCTCTCCCTGCAGGGGGCAACATAGACATCAGAGCACAACTCTCATCACAGTCACCATATAGCTAAGGGAAGCTTGTGTCTTACCGGGACACTTCCTCCCAGGTTCTCTTTAGGCGGTGGATGGCATTACATTGTAGGGCTGAGAGAATGGCACGCAGCGAGGAGAAATTCTTTAGGATCCGACACTCCTAAACAAACATTCAGTCAAATTCAGCACCGTAAATATTATAATACAGAGGAAAACATTTAACTGGAAAAATGAAAAAATAAAAGTAAAGCATGTACTGACCCGGGCTACATCAATCCACCTCTCCAGCAGCCGGGCTCTCTGGTTGGGTTTCAGAGTTGGGTTGCTTAGGCAGGTGTTGATGACACAGTTGGTGACGGAGTTGAACTGGGCCACAGTGGCTCTGATGGTGGGGGCCAGGTGTTCTTTCCCCTTCTTGTCCCGCTGAGACCAGATCCCACCCAGACAGTGGTACGGAACAACCTTCTTAAATAAGTCCTGACACACAAACACGGCCAATCAAAGGACATCAGTAGGTAAACAAACTTCCAAAATCCTTGCATTCAAATGTAATGCAAATTAGACACTCACAGCATCCATGAGTGTGAACTGCTCTGCCATCGTGATGGGGTCAAAAGACAGAAAGCTAAAAGCAGGGAGTTCATCCTCAAAGCCGCTCTCTTCCTGAGTGGCAAACGGGCAGCCGAGGTTGTCCCCTTAAACAAGTAGTAAATAATTATTAAAACTTTTTAACCAACAAACAGATAAAAGACAATCATTGTCCACCTGTTCTATGACTGGTTCAGCATTGAACAACACATAAAGAAATTGCAAATTATCTATGTATTTAAGGTGTGTTTTGTATTTTCAGCTGGGCCAAGTTTTTCCATCTCATCCATACTGTTTGCTGAGTAAATTTGCATTTGTTTTCTCTGCACCAAGAGCACTGAGGATCTGACTCAGAAACATCATTGTAAAATCAGCCTGTCCTAAACTGTTGAAGAGTCACAGTCTGCAGAGTAGTCTTGCAGCTGAATAGCTTACGTTGCTCTAAATCCTGAAATAAAATGAAAGAAAAAAGTGAAAGTAAAATTTCTGAATGCAGTGCCCACATTTGTCCTGAACTGTCCTGCCCTGTTATTCCTCCAATGAGCTAACATCTTATGTCCTGTCTTTTCTGCTGTCTCTGTTCTGCCTTGCTCGTGTCCCATTTTTTTTCGGATCTCACAATGCTTTCTGTGTTCTGGCCAAGTATCCCCAGTCTCCTACTGTCCCCTTTCTGCTGTCCTTGTTGCATTGGACCATTCTGTCTTGTCTATTTCTCTTTTGTCCTCTCCTGTATCCATACCATCAGAATCAGGCTCACACTGCTGTCTCCGGTGGAAGTGGTCTAGCAGATTCCGGGCTCGGAGTTCCAGGTCCGATCCTGGAAAGTGGACGTGCAGGTAAGACAGGAGCTGGTGGAGACAGTCGTAGTTGGGTGGGGTCCAGAAGTCCTCTGAGTACTGATCAAGCCATGCTCCCAGAATGGACGACACGGTGCTATAAAAAAATAATACACAGCTCAATGTTAACAAAGTCATTTTACAATTCTAACTAAGAAAAACATTTGCAGCAGCTTCAACCTCCAATCTTGACTTACTTCCTGAGCTCTGTGCAGTCGTCTTGACAAACTCTGTGAGCAGATGCTGTAGGTACGTTCTGCAACTTTGCATATCTAGACAGAAACAGAAAAAAAAACATTAGAGAGATCTGTTTCAAATTGGGAGTTTTGGTTTCATACGCATAATGTTGCTGTATAAAAAGTGCCACATTGTGCAACATGCAGGTCCAGAGAGGAAATCAGTGATCAGTTATTTCAGGTATGGCTTCTTCTCCAGCATGCCATGGGCTGCTGTTGCTGGGGTGATAGTGTCTTTGTTTATGGCATGTCTTGCAAAGTTAGGTTAAGTATTTGGGCTTAGGTGTCAGATCAGACGGGCTGTAGTTTTTTGTTTTTGATCTTTGATCCTGAAAGTGTGACCAATATCGAACCAATACTGATCCTGAGTATTGGCTCGAGCTATTCCTAGTTTAAATAAAGGGTACTTACTGGCTATATTTAGCTAGGAATTCACTGATAGCAATTCCAGCATCATACCCAATACCTAATTCAAATACTCACACTCAAAAAAAAAAAAGTAACAATCTGGTGACCTCAAAATGCGAAACCAATTGCAAACGAGTCAGCTACTGTTATGTTATGTGTTTGTTTTTAATAATTCAGTGTCTCAAGTAGATCAACTATGTCAGCAGTCTGGAGGCAATTTAACACCAAGAACAAGGATAAAACAAGACCTAGTGTAAGTTTTTGTTCTATTATGATATAAGCAATTTAATAAAACACCTGAAGACACATCATAGCCCAGAATATAATGAAGTCTCTTCTCAGTTTAACGGTGCTGTGCATTAATGAGAGGGTTAAACAATACCAAGAAGGTTTAAGAGTTCTGTTAGGCAACTGGCAGTGAAATTTCCTCAAAGAAAACATTTCACAACTTATCCAAGAGGCTTCTTTAGTTCTAACTGGTGGTGGGGAGTACAGCAAATACATATACATATACATCTGTGTGTTGAGACCATGGTCTCCTGCGACGTCACATCACTTTTTACATGCATCCCCACAGACAGAAGCATGGCTGCGCTCTCCTATTTCTCCCATAGTCACAGATCTTTACATGGAGGAAGTGGGGAGCCGAGCTTTACACTCCTACATGGGAACATCACCTAGCCACTGGTTCCGATATGTGGACGACACTTGGGTCAAAATCAAGGTCCATGAGGTCAACAACTTCACAGACCACATCAACGCAGTGGAAAGGAACATCAAGTTCACCAGAGAAGATGTGAAAAACAACAGCCTTGCCTTCCTGGACTGTGTGATTCACATCACAGAGGACAGACATCTCAACATGGAGGTGTACAGGAAACCAACTCACACCGACCAGTATCTCCGTTTAGACTCACATCACCCACTGGAGCACAAATTAGGAGTCACCAGAACCCTTCAGTTACATGCAGACACCATTCCCACCACCAACAGAGGTGAGATGAGAGAACAGGGACACATTAGGACAGCCCTTAAGACCTGTGGCTATCTCAGATGGGCTTTTTTAAAAACTAACAAAACGAGGCCCACAAAGAGGGAGGACAACAGGAGGGGGAATGTCGTCATTTCATACATTTCAGGAGTTTCGGAAAAACTTAGGAGGATCTTTAACCAACACCAGATCCCCGTACACTTCAAACCTGGTAATACCCTATGACAAAAACTGGTTCATCCCAAAGACGAGACACCAAGAAACAAGCTGGACAATGTGGTATGTGCCATTCAGTGCAATGAAGACATAGGCGCATGGCCCAACACAGGAGGGCCAACTCCTCAGGACAGGACTCAGCTGTTAACATACACCTCAAGTACAAAACACACTCAATTGAGGACAACAATGTTCACATTTTGGCCAAGGAAGACAGGTGGTTTGAGAGAGGGGTAAAAAAAGCCATTTTGGTCAACCTGGAAAAACCATCACTCAACAGAGGAGATGGACTCAGACACAACCTATCGCCCACATACAAAGCACTCTTAGGAACAATACCCAAAAGATTCTCCTCAGTTTCATACATCAGAGGCATGTGACTGAAACCAGTCCGATGAGGATGGCAACGACCCATCAGACTCCTAACGACTGTTTACAGTTTCCCAGTTGACCCAAAGGCCCCACCCAACAGGGGGGAGCTGAAGGAGCTTTATTCTTTGTCACACCCAGAGTATATATTTGCTGTACTCCCCACCACCAGTTAGAACAGAAGAAGCCTCTTGGATGAGAGGCGAAACGTCTTCTTTGAGAAAACTTCACGTCCAGTTGCCTAACTCTTCAACCTTGACCATGACCTGGATGACTGAGAATCTTCATAGACAATACCAAGACACTTTTTTGTTGCAAGTCGTGCTGTGTTCATTGAAACATGGAAATGGTTCTACAAAGTTTAAATGACACCAGAAGAAGGGTTTTTTTCAAGGCAATGCGCTATTGGTGCAAAAACTTGGCTCAGTTTCTGTTCAGCTAACTATGCAGAAAGTTAAGTTTTATTCGTCTTTATTTTTTATGAATTTATTTTTTATTTTATCCTTTATTTTATTCATATATTGCCTAATGGGGACAACAGTGACAGTTTGAAGACTTTTCTCTGATACACAAAGATTTGTTTCCTTTTGGATTGAAATAGTTTTCTGTTAATTAGAAAAAAATAAAACACAGCACAAAACACAAACACAACACAAAGTGTTTTCTCGCTTCATGTTCCTGTATTGAAACTGTATTGGTGACAGTATTCATAATTGGTCAATAGACAAATAACAATAGTCGTACTTATATGGAGTCGTGAAATTGGAATTGGACAACCCAAGCTTAAGCAGCACACACATACACACATGCATACACACTAAACTGACCTGTTGAGCAGCAGGTCTAAGACCTGCCTGGTGCTGGCGAAGGATCTGTAGGTGCAGAGGAAGATGGTGACGTAGGTGGAGTCTTTTTCTCTGAATGCCGACACCATGTACTCCACCAGGCGCTCCAGTGTCCCTGCCTTGATGGTCCTCACCTTGCAGGTCTCGTACAGGCTGAGGGCTGAGTCTGTGTCCACACCCAGCCAGCGCTGCCCCTTGCTGGCTGACTGGTAGAGCTGCACCTTCCTCAGTGTGATGGTGAAGATGGCATCTTCCTCAGCCTCCTCCCCGATTTCCTGTGTTGAGCTCTGAGAGATAGGGAATGAAGATGACACTTAGATGAAACTGTGATGGAGTGCTGAAAAATCTTTTCTGTTGATATTCAATTTTGGAGTTTGAAGCAGATAACAGCTGAAGAAACAGCAGATCCGAGTTTACCATTTCACATCATTAACACAGACAAATCACAACAGAGCAGCTGACCCTGACAAATAAAGCGTGTGACTTTGAAGGGTAGCGTAAGCAGGGCTCGAATCACATTTCTTGGTAAAGGTGCACTGGTGCAGATAAAAAAAATTACTTGCACCAAACAAAAATTGCTTGCACCAGCAAAATTACTGACTAAAAAAAAAATTAACAAAAATGTTTATACCTTTTGTTGTGGTAAACTTGCTATGATTTTGTGGGGCCAAATAAATTCACAAAAACAAAGACATTCTATATGTTAAACTTTTTACATAAATTAAAATTTTGTCCACTCCGTCAAGAAGGCATTGGCCGCAATTGCCGCTGCTCGAGTGGCATCTTCCCCTCCCTCGGTGAGCTCGCCTGCTTTGGCTGCCTCTGCGACCTGTAGTGGGTCGACGTCAGCCTTCTTCTCTGTCCCTTCCTGCTTCATGCCCGCGGATGCCTCTACCTCCATCTCAGTGGCTCCAGTACTCTCTCCATCTGTGGGACCTGTTTTTCCCACCCTCCAAGCCCCTATTTTGGGACGTCAGCGCGCTCGCTGTCTTTGTGAGCGCTGTATTGCTATGTATTGCTATTGCGCTGTATTCCTATGCTTCTGTCCAGGTTTTTGGAATTTTGAATCTTGAAATAAACTACCTGCACCAGTCCTGCATTTGGGTCCTGCCTGCTTCCTGCCATGTCGATGGCCAATCGTGACACTCACTGAGCCATAGACCTGTATTTTTGTCATTATCACAGCAATAGATCTAGAACCTCTTTTGGAACCATACAATTGTAAGAACCAACTGTAAGAACCAAAAAGAGCATCTTATTTTACTATTCATCCAACAGCATGCAACTGGTAATGCTTCATATCCCATCAGCATTTGTGAAATACTCAAATTTGGTGATTTTTACTTAATCAAATGTCAAAAATGTGTAGAGTCATACTGAAAATGCCTCTTTCACATATATATGGAAAATAGTAATATTTATTTTATGTACTTTTTTTCACTGCCTCCCCTGACCGCACGTCACTGGTTGACAACATAGTCCAAGCGTGTGCCATCAAGATGTGCTTCATTAAATTTGAGTTGCTTGGACATTCGTGGACAAACTCTTTGCTCTGAGACATAATGTTCACTGAACATGTACATTTTTACCTTTTACCTTGACGAGGTTAAAGTACTGCCTGTATTTTCACCTTGAAAATGCGTCTTCCCCTTTGACTCCGGACTTGCCATCTGAAAATTTGTGTGTGTGCTGCTGCTGCTGTGTGCTGGGTTTGTGTGTAAACACCCGCCAGAGGGGAAAAAACACACACACATTTGCAGCTCCTGTGTGAGCCAAGTCGGATGACAGCTTCAATGAGTGGCTTCAGTATCGCGCAGTAACGGCGTGTTGGTGATGGTAACGGCGTTATAACGATAAAGTAATTAGTTAGATTACCCATTACTGAAAAAAGTAACGCTGTTAGTAACGCCGTTTATTTTAATGCCGTTATTCCCATCACTGATTAAAAGTCCAGAGAATGTTAAGTTTGCCAAAAACCACAGTTGAGCAGAGGAATAAAGAAGGAGCAAAGAGGAGCTAAGACCAGATCTGATTATAAGCAATAATTTTTCTCCAAAATAGACATGTGTCACCTTTCTGGTTTTCACCTTATGGGGAGCACTGTCTGAGCTACACTGTCCGACATGTCATAGTCAAATCTCTCACAGCAGAGAAAGACACCAAGCAGAATCAGGAGATCTGAGTATTTTTCCAGGCTGCAGGCTTCACATTCCTTCTGCTGCTGCTGTTCGACTCCACGGCTTCACTTCACATGAAGCTCAAACTGAAGCCTGCCTGCTGTACATTGAACAACAATTAATCTCCACTGGTTTAAAAAGTTCTGTTAGGCAACTGGACGTGAATTTTCTAAAAGAAGACGTTTCACCTCTAATCCAAGAGAACTTCAGAACTGAAGAAGCCTCTTGGATTAGAGGTGAAATGTCTTCTTTTAGAAAATTCACATCCAGTTGCCTAACAGAACTTTTTAAACTTGACCATGACCTGGATGACTGAGAATCTTCATAGACAATTAATCTCCACTCTATCTCTGCTCTCCTGTCGCCCTCAAACCTGAGAGCTTTTTAACAGAGCTGAAGTAAAGTGATCAGACCAGATTCTGTGAGGACAACATCTGCTCCGAGTCGGAAGATATTCGGATTTATATTTCTGTCCATGTGGTGAACGTGGACATGAAGTCTCACTGTAAGGCTGAGAGAAAGACAGACAACCCATCAGCAAAAGGTGTATTCCTGGCCTTAAACTCAATCCTATAGTTATGGACTTTTATAAATTAAAGTGATGTCATTGTTTCGTGAGACAGAAGTGGGTCAGAAGTATTACTGTAGACACACGCATACAAACACTGAGCTCTTCTACAATTACACAAATGTAGTACCTGGACTACATTGGGACCATCAGTGATCCAAATTATTTATTCGAGTTTAACTAGTTCAACCAACCATTTATTCATTCATCTTTCGCTACATAATCCAGGTGAAGATCCCAGGAGGAGCTAAATTCAATCCCATATAAAGAGTAAAGTTAAGGTCAGATCCTAGTCAGTATGGACTCAGGTTCCTTTCTACAAAAACCTCATTAACAAAACTACCAGAAGACTATAAGGATGGCCACCGCAAACAAACATATTCTGGTGCTATTCAATGAAAGTTATCCTTTTTTATTGATTGGCTTAAATCAACAGCTCCATTACTAACAAGCTAGTTAGAAACGCAGCACCCCATGCTTTAGCAGTATCAGCCAGATATCAGTACACAAATATTTTGCCCCTGTTTATGAACTTGTACACAGGCTACAGTCCGATTAAATGACCAAGTCCATCTTTATCTTGTGAAAGAAAATCTAGGTCTGGTCTGAGCTGAGAGAACTAGACAAAGGGGAGAATGAAGAGGAGAAAAGCTCTCCATCTCCTTCTCCTGCATGAGAAGGATTAAAGTGTTAGATAATTGTGTTAGAGGAGGATTATATCACAGTCAGAGACAATAAGTCTTAACTGTGTTTTCATAGTTTCTTCACTGGAGACGCTCAGTCTCAAGATGAGACACCAAGCGAGTTTACAATTTATCCATGACCAAAAACAACATATCAAATAGAAGCTGGTCTGTCATGGCCAGCACAGACACAGGACAGAACAGGGTCTGGAGAAAGTTCCATTTAATTCACACTGACAGGCACTTTACTGCAGGTTCAAAGTTCATTCATCACATTCTCAACAACACAAAGTTCTGGAAGACTTAGAGACAAAGATAAAGCTTGTTAAACATTACTTTATCCTAAAAAAAATACTATCACAATGTCCTGCTGGAATCCTTAGAGTTTTTTATTTACAAATTTAAATGTAACAAAAAATACTTAAGTGGTTACCAGGAAAGAGCAAATGCTTACACAAATACCAGGACAAAGAAACCAGGGATAACACTAATATCACTGCAAGAACTTGCCACAAAAACTAGTGAGTTCCAGAAAGTATTTTGTTTTACGATAAAGAATATGTTTAGAACCTTTAAAGATTAAACATTTATTATAAAATGATCATGAATTACTGATTTAATTTGATTTATGACAAATGTTGATTTTTAAAAAAGTATTACATATAAGCATTATTTTTTTCATTGTGTTGTTTAGTCATAAGCATAGTATATTTTAGTAATAAGCATATTAGTGTTTCCTGAAATGTAAAAACAAACAAAAATTAAGTGAAGGAAGTTTATATGAGAAGAATTTGCTTTTAAGCATATATTTTGATAAGTTAACCGCGTATTCTAGTACATATTTTAAACAAACGTTTTTAACTTTTAATAACTCAAAACTTAATCGCTCGCTGTCAAACGTTTGTCATGTTTTTGACAATAAAATAATTATTTAGTTAATTTAATTATTTAGATTAATATTTTTCCAATATTTCTGCAGACATTCAATAACTGTATTTCATGTAATTATTGATTTTTATTTTCCTTCTCTCAGAGCTCAGGGTCACTTCACTGTCAATCCTCCATCATAACAACTGGCTCAGTTAACTGAGCTGAGTCGCCGCTGCTTCATCATTGTCCGCACCGGCCCAGGCCTCCTGTAGTATCCTCTTCCCTGCCCCAGCCTTCTCATCGGTTTCCTTGTCACCTCTGGTGGTGGCAGGTCTGGGTCCAGCTGGGTGAAACTGTGCAGAATCACTGGGCTTCGCTCCTTACCTCAAGCCTCACCCCGTCCCAAATGTTCCGCACCTTCCACGACGAGTCGAACATGTCGACCAGCGGGCCCTCGGTTCCTGTGACCGGGTAAAAGACCATGGAGACCCTAAATCCCAATGCTGAGTCACGGTACGGACATTTTCCCCGTTTTCCGTCCGCCTTCAGCGTGAGGCTTCTCCGCCAGAGGAGAGTTCTTAACTGGTACTGCTACTACAGCCCTGACGCCCCTGAACGCACCATGACTCACACACGAAGCCACGCCCAGTCAGAAACGTTACCTCCCTAGGATGTAACGGTAGATCCCTGTTCTCAAAGCACTACATATTTTTTAGAAAAAGAAGTCAAGAATAATTTTTAATGATTGTTCAAACTTTTGTTTTAGTTAACACTTTAGTTGTTGAGAAAAAGTATGGATCTGCAGTGTAAAGAAATTATTTATTAAAAATTAAAAAAACTTGTTCTAAATAGAAATTCTGAAATAAGAAAAAATAAATAACTCAAATTAATATAGCAAGCGAGTTTAACAAGATGTCCCTACACTCATGACGTCATGTCTTTCGGGAAATGGCATCACACATTTAGGCCGTAAGGTGAACCAAAAAGTCTTTCAGAAATTTAATTCCGCTCCGACGTCTGCGAACTACACAATCTTTTATTCATAAAAAGAAGGAGTTACTGTATGTTAAACTTACAGCACTTACTCTTGCTCTCGAAGAAGGCGGACGCTTTTTCCCTTTGCTCCCTCCCTGCCCTGACCTCCCCTGCTACTGCTCTGTGTCTTGTAACGTCTCTGTCAAACTATCTCGGAGCCTCTCTCTGCATTTTCCTCGAAAATCAAAATGATGGATCTGGTCAACTGGTCTCTCTACGCAATTGATCAAATTTTCTCAACCATGGGTAAAGGAGAACCTGCCTGCCCTGACAGAACCTTCCCGGCCGGCTACATGTTGGACTCCTGGTACAGCTGGAGGATCGTGTGCCTGTCCGCGTTTCCGTGGAGGATGTCGAAGATTTGTACCTATTTGGATTTATGATGGCAGGTTTTCTGCTGATTGGCCTGGGCACCTTCCTGTTCCATCGTGAAAAAAAAGATGATGCTACAATTGGCAATCGACAAGCTCATCGCCCTGACTGACGGATGGGGCAGGGCCGTCAACACTCAGACTCAAGCGATTTGCAAATTCAACCGCAAACTGGATGCGGTTTTCGAGCGCTCTCGCATACTGATACCAACTTGGAGAAGCTGGCGGCTCGGCT